GATGTGTGATAAGTTTCGTGAAAATCGGTCCAGATTTAGATATAGCTCCCATATATATTTTTATCCGATTTTATGTAAATGATGTACCAAAGTCCCTATATGCCTTTCGATTTGGACGAAATTTGGCACAGGGAACTGAATTAGGTCTAGAATGATGTGTGTAAAGTTTCGTGAAATTCGTTTTAGATTTAGACATAGCTCCCATATATATTTTCGTCCGATTTAATGTAAATGGTGTACCAAAGTCCCTATATGCCTTTCGATTTGCACGAAATTTGACACAGGGAACTGAATTAGGTCTAGAATGATGTGTGTAAAGTTTCGTGAAATTAGTTTTAGATTTAGATATAGCTCCCATATATATTTTCGTCCGATTTAATGTAATTGGTGTACCAAAGTCCCTGTATATATTTCGATTTGCACGAAATTTGGCACAGGGAACGGAATTAAGTCTAGAATCATGTGTGTTAAATTGGTTTAGATTTAGATATAGCTCTCATATACATATTTTCTACCGATTTTACGAAAATATATTGACCCAAATTTTATACTATGCACTAAAATTAATATAAATAATGTCGGGCAAGTTTCGTTGAAAACGGTTCAGATTTAGATATAGCTCCCACATATATATTTTCGTCAGACTTTACGTAAATCGTGCACCAACTCCTAATGCTTGTTCCATTGACACGAAATTTTGCACAACGTATCAAATCGAGACTACAATGACGTTTTTGTTTGTTGTTTTTTTTTTAATTGATGCAGACATAGCTTCCATATGTAGCGTATATTAAGTGTGCTATAATCGATATTAATAAATTCGTTCCATTGTACGCAAACGACTCTAAATAGGTCCTTTGTAAATATATTCGTGTACGATAATTTTAAAACAAAGTGGCAAAATTAAGGAAAATGTTGCACAAAATTTCAAAAATTTGGTATCAAAATAAAAAAGTGGTACAAGAGTGGAAAAACCGAAAAAAAATCAAAATTGTTACTTTAGTGGCACAACGGTTACGCTGGTTGGAGAATGGAATGTGTATGGATTGATGTTAGTTCGTTCCATTATAGATAAATATCACATATTTAAATTCGTTCAATATCATCTCAATGCTCCTTCGGATATTCACATGAAATTGTTAGCATAAATAGTTAGAATATACCCAAAGTTGTGAATGGCCCAGTCCGACTTTACTACTTTTCCTTACTGGTTTTTTTAATGTAGTAATTTTGGAACAATATTCACTGTCCCACTTTTCATGTCTAAATGTGCCAATATCACTAGCGTGCCTGAAACCGCTATGTACCACAATTGAACTTGTGTTCTGCTCATAGTAGACTCGCATCCAAATGCCGCAATTTTAAAAGTTAGCACTTTCGATATTATCTTATTAAGTCAATATATTTTTTCCTTTTTTTCTTTATTTAAATATACAAATTTTGGATCCCCAAATAAATGTTTGTACTATTAAAAATTAAATTCTATAGTTTATTTCTAGCACCTTTCTTTTTATTTTTTATTTTTTTTTAATCTAAGTACCACTAAATTGTGTGCCATTTGTCACAAAACAAAACTTTGCGTTAACATGCAAATCATTAAATTAAAGTGCCACCCAGCCAACGAATGGATCCGCCAGCCAGCAATCACAATAATAATCATAAAAAACAAAATTGCAAATAAAAACCAACAACAACAAGTGCGTCATTGTTTATAAATGGCAATAATTTGCATAGAATTACACTAAAGAAAAAACTAAAAAACTAAACACTAAAGAAACAAAACGCGACAACTATTGAGAAAATAGTAAAAACAATAACAACAACAATAAGAATTGTGTGTTTTTCTGGTAGCCACCTTAGGAAATGTTTTATTTTTTCCAATTCAATTGTTTAGTTTTTTTTTTATAAGCTTGACACTTAAACAACAACAACAACAAGAGTAAACAATAAATATTAGCAAAGTGCTGGTCATTGTATTTGGGGACTAAAGGTTAGATTGTTATTAGCTGGTAGTGTGCTGTGCACTGGTGTTTTGATTTTCGTATTTGTGGCAAAGTTCAAAGTTTTTTTGTAAAAAGATTTGTTTTTGTTTTTATTTATTGGAATTTTGTCAATTATTTATTGTTTAAATACACGCAACATATTTGGAAAGAAATTTATACAGATTTTATACAAATTGCAGTTGGGCATGTTTAGAAATGATTTTTTTTTAACTCCTAGAAAATTAATACACACAATAAACGATTTACTGAATTGCTTCATTCCCTTTTTTTTAAAGTAATAATCAAATCAATTCAAAATTTTAACATGCGGAAACTTGGATAAAAATTTAATATACTGGAAATAGGGGACCTTTATATACCAAATTACTTTCACATGTGTTAGAAAATGCGGTTTTTCCAAACATATATCAAACATTTATATATATATATATATATATATATTTTCTCCTATAAGAAGACTTTTTGAAGATGATCTATTAATCCTTTACGACTAGACCTTCTGGTATACTATGCATACACCCAGGAATCTTCTACGACAAGTCCTTCTGGAATTTTCCAAGATAAGTCCTTCCCTATGAGAACGTATTTTGGTCATCTATTCAAAAATGACTCACTTTTTACTAACTGCAGCAAAAGCAACACTTGGGTACCAAAAACCACCTTCAAGAAACCCCTGGGTCGATCAGGAAGGAGTGTCGTAATGCTACTGATGTGAAAAACGTAGCGTATATGGCAGCCCTGCAAACAGTAGCAACACACAATGCGAGAGAGAATTATCGGGAGAAAAGGAGAGAGGAGAAATGCTTTTTTTCAGAAAAAAGAAGAAAGAACAAGAAAAACGTGAGCGTGAGCAGAGATGTACAGGAGTCAGAATGAAGTCCGGAAATTGTACCAAGTACGAGTAAAACACCAGACTATAGAGGAATAAGTCTCGTTCCCATCGCATATAAAGTGCTATCCAGCGTACTGAGTGAACGACTGAAGCCAATGGTCAATGACATTATTTGACCATACCAATGCGGCTTTAAGCCTGGCAAATTCACCATATACCAGATTTTCACTCTGCGCCAAATCCTGGAAAAGACCCACGAAAAACACATCGACACATTCCACCTATTCCCTTATTAATTCAGAGGTGTTTAAAATCATGTCTGCGTTCGGCATTCCTGCAAAATTAATACGGCTATGCAGGATAACTGGTGCAAGGTCAGTAGTTAAAGTTCGAAAGGACCTCTCGGAGTCCTTCAGGATTCAGACAAGGTAACAGTTTGTCGTGTGACCTATTCAGCATCCTGCTGGAAAAGGTCATTCGAAATTCATATGTGAACAGAAATTGCACTCTGTACACCAAACAGCATATGTTACTTGCCTACGCCGACGACATCGACATTATGAGTCGAACATTGCGAGCGTTAACATCCACCTTTAAACAAATTGAGAAGGAGTCTGCCAAAGTGGGTCTGGCAGTAAATGGCGAGAAGACCAAGCTGTTGGTATCAACGTGCAAGATGTCCAGCAGACTCGGACCAAATGTGAAACTTGAGAACTACAGCTTCGAGGTAGTAAATGATTTTATATACCTTGATAACGCCATAAATAAAACGAATGGCATCAGGTTTGAAATTCGGAGAAGGATAGTGATGGCCAACCGATGCTACTATGGTCTGAGCAAACAACTCTAAATCAAGGCCACCTCTTGCCAGACCAAACTCACACTCAACAAGATGCTGATATTACCCTTGCTGTTGTATGGAGCTGAAGCATGGGTACTTACGCAAGCAGATGAGACAGCTCTTGGAGTGTTTGAGAGAAAAATTCTCCGAAAGATCTATGGGGCGATCTGCGTCGACGGTGAATATCACCGTCGATTAAACCATGAGTTGTACCGTCTATTCTCGAACATCGACATAGTAATCGAGGATCGAGCTGCAGCGATTACGTTGGCTAGGTAATTTTGTGATAATGGATGAAGATGCCCCAACTCAAAAGGCATATAAAAGCGAGCCCAGTGATGGTTCACGCAGATGGGGAAGGCCACGAATACGATGGAAAGATCAAGTAGAAGACAACATCTCGGAAAATGGTCTTTCAAATTGGATGAGATGCGTACAAGAACGACGCGCCTGGAAATCTTTTTTAAGCTGGACTTATGGAACAACCGTTCTATCATAAGCCAGCTAAGTAATTATTAAAAAATGTTTGCCTATAGAAGACCTTTGGAAGGTCTACTTACTATAGACGACCAGTCAGAAATCTCCTGTCTATTTAAGACCTGTCAGAGTCCTCCTATACATAGAAATCCTATTGGAGCACTTATATTAAATACTTATTAGAGATTTTCTGCCTATATAAGACCTATCGAAGGACTCCCAAAATATCGCTGCATAGTAGAATAAATGTATGCAGCGTCGAATTGAGAATGATCTTCGGTTTATAGAAGACCTATTAGCGGTTTGTTTATCAAAAATGTAAAAAATGAGTTTAATTTAATTTCCAATATTTCCAAATAATTAAATTCTGGACAGTGCTGTGAATTAGAGTTCAGTATTAATTGGGCCACTGGGGCAATATCACCCAGTTTTCAAAATGTTATATTTAAAATTTTTATTAAGTTTGCTACATCAAATAATTGTGTGATGTGAATTTTGTAATTATATTATTAATAAATGGTGCAATCAACACATTATTATGATTTTATTTGTTAGTGCACACCAACAGATGACACACACACGCACGGACATATATCAACAAAAATACACCCAACCTTTTTCTGTGTTTAAAATTCTGTTCACACACGTATTGATTTATTTTTTTGAAAACACTAATGTGCTTGGTTTTAATAATTTTGCAAGTGTTATTAGTCGACACTCTAGTGTGAGTGCAGTGGGTTGGACAAGTGAGAGTTATTTTGTTTCAACAATAATAACAACAACTAGTATCATAAAATGTAATTATGTAAATAGGAATAGGAATAGATAGAAGAATAATATTGATCACCTGGTGATGATGGACCGGGGCTGTAGCTTAAACTATCGGTCGATGACAATTTGGGCAAGTGGGCAGTTTTTAACGATGGTCGTCTCATGAATTTGAATTCAAAGGCTAAATTAATAATAACAAAAATGATTGAATTTGTTGTTGCGTCTTTAGAATTAAATTTTAGAAGAATAACTATTTCAAATGCCAGCAAGAACAACAAAAACACAAAGACAATTTGATAGTAATAAACAAATTTATTTTTATGATTTACATAGAGAGACAGTCATGATGATGATGATGCGGATGATGATAGAGATGGCGATGACGTAAAAAGCAACGTAAGCAAAATAAAACTGTGTGTAGATAATAGCATAGAAAGTAAAAGCAAAAGAAGAGAAAGAAGAAGACAAACTGAAATTTTATTAAATAAATGCCTACTATAAAAAAATGAATATAAAGAAGGAAGTAAAAGTTGGTAGTTTGCTTTCAATAAGATTTGAATTTCAAGAAGAAGAATATTTTCGTTTAATGGGTTTTTTCTAAATTTAACAGAGGAATGTGGAAATTTTTGTTGAGTTAATCAACGAAATTAATTAAAAAGAGGGGCAATAATTTGAATCTATTCCGAGGGAAGGAGGCCCATTAAACTTTTTACTTACTTAGATGGCTTATGACAGAACAGTTGTTCCTTAAGCCGAGGTTAAAAAAGATTTCCAGGCGCGTCGGTCTCCAAATGAAAGACCATTTTTCGAGATGTTGTGTTCTACTTGATCTTTCCATCGGATTTGTGGCCCTCCCCTTCTGCGTGAATCATCACTTGGCTCGCTTTTATAAGACTTTTGAGCTGAGGTATTGGCTTTAACATGGCGACATCCAGGCTTATCATGGTTCCTCTTTCGTCTCAATTGTGGACACTGACCTCCCCGCGGTTTCACCTGGGGTAACTATTTTCATCATCACCCATAATGAGTTGAGGCGTTATTAAAAAACATCGGAAAAGAAAACCAAACCCCCAATGTTGACAAGACCTATTAAAAAGCCGCATAAAATTCATATTTTTGTAAAAATGTTTCTATCTATATGAATTCCTCTTTCAGATTTTTTACAGCGTTTTTTTTCATATAGAAGAACTGTGAGAGATTTTATTTCAATAAATCCTATCTGAAACCTTTCGTGTATAGAAGAATTATCAGAGATCTGCCTTCTATAGAAGACCTGTATAATGTCTTCTGTCTATGAAAGTCTGATAGGTGTTATTTCTGCAGAAGGTCCGATATACGCATTTTGTCTATAGAAGACCTATCGATTACTTTTGTTTATGGAAAACTGTCAGAGGTCTTCTTGACATGTGTATTCTGACTTTCGAATACCAGTATACGTTTTTCTTTCCCCCTATCATATGACTACTGTACATTGAAAATTTTTAAAATATTTTTTTGTCCATAAAAGAACTTTCGAAAGTCTTCCGTTTCTTGAAATCTGTTAGGGATTTTCAGAGATATTCTGCTTATAGAAAACCTATGAAGTGTTTTGCATTCAGTAGAAGACCTATCAAAGGCCTTCTGGCTGTAGATGGCATATAAACGGGGTTTTTGTGTTTAAATACAAGGTGATACCTCTTACAGGGGTTCTGTGCATAGAAAATCAGTCAAGAGTTTTTTATCTATAAAATCCCTGTTAAAGGTCATCTGTTTATAGAATCCAGAGAAGACCCTTTTGTCTTTTTATTATTTGTTGTGGAATTATGGAATTTAAGCGTCAAGTGCAAGAACCTACACCACAACTGAAAGAAAATAGACTCAAAAGATCTAAGTGTTGCTTCGCTTGGCCGAAAGCGGTGAACTGCCGAATTTGGTTTTCTCCGATGAGAAAAACATTCGTTGTCCAGCAGTTTGTAAATAAACAAAATTATCGTGTTTAATTGCCAAAGAGGTCAGCTGAAAATGTGCACCTTCGCCGGCCATGGTGATGGTGTGGTCTCCATGGTATAGGTGTGGTCTCCGCTCGTATTAATCGACTGTGGCATCAGATTAAGTGCCGAATATTATCGCGAAAATATTCTGGAGGGTGTAATAAAGCCTTGGGCCCGCAAACATTTTGGCCACAGACCTTGGACATTCCAACACGACTCAGCACCATCGCACTCAGCACGCGCCAAGAATGGTTACAAAAAAATGTTCTTCGCTTCATTTCCAGTGCACATTGGCCACCAAAATCTCCGGATACCAATCCGTTAGACTATTGTGTCTGGATTATTTTGGAAAGCAAGGTTGGCACCAAAAAAATACCAAAGTGTCGATCACCTCAAGCAAGCGCTTCGCCGGGAATGGGCAAAAATTCCGCAGAGCAACACTGGTGCAGCGTTAAAAAATGTAAAAATTATGGCGTTTGACTTTGTTGCAGTTTTTTTATCTCACCCTGTATATTGTAGACCTGTCAGAGACCTTCAGTCTATAGAAGATGATGACACCATATCGGATGCTGAAAAAATATTTTATAAAAAACCACGCCTATTCGCCATTAAAAAAATATTTAAAATAAGCACGCCTTTTTCCATGATCGCAATATTCGAAATAGAGCTATGGTATTTTTTGCGCTCATTGCAGAAAATTGACAATATAGGTCCATGTTTCCGGATTCCTGGGAATGTTCCGGATTCTCTTCCCAACAATTTATAATGTAAGTAAATTTTTTTACAGAGGTTTCGCATAAATTTAGTAAGTTGTGGTTCCTATCCCTATTTTTTTCATAGGGTATAAAAAGTTGGATCCGCCTCTAATTAAAGACTGGTTTACTTGCTCATGAGCTGAAACCAATTGACCTCAATGAACTTTTTCCATTTCTATTGAGACACCTGTTCTTCTTCTTATGTCGAAAAAAATCTAATTTTTTCATGTTTGCAGGACAGAAAAAAAAAATTCATTTGGTGCCAATTTCGAGCAGTATAACAGATGACCCATCAATTCTACGTTTTGGTCGAACAAAATGGCGCTATTTTGAACCAATGTGTGAGGGCCATGGTGCACAAATTATTCGTTTTTGTTTTTTGTCTTAGTTTTTCGAATTTTTCCGAAGAAAAATCTCCCAAATGAAAAATCTACAAATGACCGGTTTTATAACAGAAACAGGTTCGATTGCTCTTTTGTTAGCGGCTCATGTGAATTTTGTCCCAATCGGACCAATATTGGCAGTATGGAGCTCCATGTACATAAAAATGGACGAAATTATATATATGGGAGCTATATCTAAAACTGAACCGATTTTAACAAAACTTCGCATACATACGTATGGACCTAATTCAGTGCGCTGTGCAAATTTTTATACCCTACACAACTATGTTGTCAGGGTATTATAGCTTTGTGCAGCCCCAAAAGTTTGTAACGCCGCGAAATATTGGTTCTAGACCCACCTTTAAGTATACCGATCGTCATATCTCGACTAGCTGAGTCGATCTAGACATGTGTGTCCGTCCGTCCGTCCGTCTGTCCATTATAATTTGTAAACACGATACAGGCCACAGTTATGGACCAATCTTCACGAAATTTTGCATGTAGGATGGGTTCTGGCCAATAAAGACCCCTATTGTTTTTGGAAAAGATCGGTTAATATTTAGGGGTTGAAATGGACCTAAAACTTTATTTTTGTCGGTTTTTCTGGTCGCTCCAGAGGCCGCAATTATGGCCCAAACACCGCGAAGGGGATCAGGCCAAAGAATAATCATGCCTATTTTGATAATGATCGGTCAATATTTAGCGGGTCAAATGGACCCTAACTTTTGTGTGAAAAATTACAAAATTTGTATTCTATAGCGTATATATTTACCACTGAAGGATATAGACCCGAGAAGTTGATAGTATATCCAAGAGGAGTGGTTGAGGTTCAAATTGATATCAATTATATAGTCGTAGGTACTTGGATGCGGGAGTTGCACTTAAATATTTACAGGTGCTTACGTATTCATATATTATTTAGTAACCTATTACGACACTGGAGGGCGGAAATATAGCTCTGATCGATTTGAAATGTTCCATGAGGTTAAAGTTATGGTCAAGGACAACGCCTAAAATGTTAGGTGATGATCAGATAATAATTTTTCGGATGAAGTCGACCGAAAACTTAATTATTTGTACTTTTCGAGTCGAAAGCTGAACATCACAACACAACACACGGTGAAGGGAATCTGGACAAGTAATTATATGGGCTGTACTGATTATTAGTAACATTTGCTGACCTCTAGCCAGTCAAAAGTGCGCAAATATCGCGAAATATTGCCCAATCTCAGAATATAGAACCGCAGAAAGTTAGATTTTCATGGAAGTTGTGTAGGGTATCGTATGGTCGGCCCCGTCCGACTATACTGCTCCGCTCACTGGTTTTACATAAAATCGGACGAAACTATATATGAGAGCTATATACAAATCTGAACCGATTTTGTCCAATTTCAATAGGGCTTGTCCTTGGACCAAATATGTGAACTGTGCCAAATTTCACCCAAATCGGATCATAAATACGAACGATTACCAGTTCAGGCAATGTTCTATAGCCCTTGTATCTAAAATTAATAAAAGTAGATAAAATACCTTTTAATGGTTTTCTGCATATATAGCCTGTGCAAAACGCTACTTTTGCACTCTTTTCTATACACCAAAAAATGTTCCGTCCCCTGTCCCGTGTTCATTAAACCCATCAATAGTTCATAAACTCACCCACCCACATTCGATTATATAAATAATCCATAATTTCATAGAAACCTTGCTGCTGTTTCCTTAGCAAAATCTCAAACAATTCACACCATATCTCCTGCTTCCAACGGAGAAACCTTACCTCAAAGAATACCAAATGAATGACTTCATAAAAGGGGAGCGGTAGGGTTAACATCTACACAACAGCAAAAGTTAATCAATATCAAGTATTTAAGTGATTACATCATTGAAGCATGAAATTCAATTGAAATGGAAGCCGAGAAGTGAAGTGAAGAAAATAGAAATGAGAAAGAGAAAGATGAACGAGTCGAGCCCAGCCGACGAAGGACGATGAGGCGAGAAAACCACTCATAAAACCACAAACTCATAGCACTTATGATGGATGGTGGATGGAATGAATGGGAAAATAGCTGCGGCTTT